TGCTACTGCACCTGAGGGCCCTTGCACCCTTGCAATATGGCCTTTTAGAAACACGACTCTCTCTTGTGGGTTGGTTGTTTGTTTGTTTGTTTATTTTATTTTATTGAAGATTGCATTTCTGAGAATCACCCCATCTAGATTCTGGGAAATCCTAATTACAGACCACCACCCCTAGCCCTAACCCCCTTCCAAAGGGTAACCTTACCAAGCTTTGAGATCACAACACACCCTGTTTTCCCAACAATGGCGGGTCTCAATGTTGGACTGGCAGGTCCGCTCTCCCCGTGGGTACACAGGGCGGCTGCTTTGCAGGGCGGAGGTGAGCTTTCAAGGACGGGGCTTGACGGAGGCTGTTGGGTGCCTCGGCTGGAAGAAGCTGCAGCCCATCAAAATGTCCTCTGAGCAAAGCTGGTTAGGGTTCTGGGCACCCCAAGATGCTGTTCGTGTTTTGGTTTTTTGGACAATGGATGTTTAACATTCTGGATTTTCCTGGGTTTTATCCAGCCCCCCGCCCCCAAATCGCACTGGCACTCACCGCCACCTCTGGGGGCACCGGAGAGGATGAGCACTCATTTATTTATTCATATCACTTATATGTCATCTTTCTACACTTAGGGGACCAAGGTCGGCTCACAACAGTTCAAACTGTACTATGATAACAGGCGAAAAAATACCATATAAAACTATATTAAAAGCAATGAAATATGAATCAAGATTTTAATCAATTAAAAAAAACCCAGCAGACGTCTTCTGTGGTTCATCGTTCTGCACTGCTCCCTTTCAGTCATGTTTTGGGGGGGGAAAAAGGAAAATGTTTTTCCAGAGAACCTGCTGTTATTTTTCATGTAGAAATCAGCTGGCACCCTTTCTGGGCCAGCAGCCTTGAATTTTGTCCTTCCAAGGTCTCTTGACCTTTTCCCCTGTCTCACTCCTCCTCTCTTCTCCCCCCACTTTTCTGCACCTCTTTCAGGAAACTTCACCTCTATAGCATGAGCTGGACCCTGAAGGAGGATCTCGCGGATTGCTTGGTGGCGGCCGCTCCCTATGGAGGACCCATTGGTACGGCGGAGA